TGTTCCATTGAATGTTTAAGCTGACAAATTATTTTGTCATACTTCGCTGCGTTTCTTTCGTATTTGAAGCTGACGGCATCAAAGATGGATCTTGGAATAGTCGTTACGTATGACGCACCCAGGCTCGCTAGTATGTCCACACACCTTCTGTTTGTCTGAGTTCGTCGAACATCGACAGTAGTTGGTTCGGTGCATAAGGAAACTTTATGCTTTAAGATTATCGTATAGAAAAGCTTTAGATAGCTGTCCAATGAATTTCCTCCATACTATGGACCTGCTATGCATGGAAAATGCAAACAACACGCTACGTTGTTGCGTGTTGTGATGGAAACTAATAGCTGTCCAATGAGATCCCTGTGTTACAAGAACAAAATTGTCACGTGACAATAATCAAACAGGTAGATTGGTAGAACATAAAACTCAGTTCAAGCGAATTATTGCAATTTACGCGGATACATACATACATATACTTTATTTGGTGATTATGTTCAGATCTTCTTCAGCCANGTCCAAGGAAGGAGCAAATATGAACAGTATCTTTATTCATCCTTATCTGGTCCTCCGCCGTCATTTGAAAATTTGCTTTCTCCTTTTCTGTCAATATTTTGTTGCATTTCTCTTCGTGACATTGACAGTGAGACTGAACCAACGGTTCTGAAAGCAATTCTGTAATGTCATTGTACTGATTTGACAACAAAAAGTTCTTGTTCGGTTTAATTACAGATTCCCGTCTGCTGTGGAGTGCATCATTTTCAAAGCCCTGGGGCTTCTGATGTCTGTCGGTGTGTTCCGTTTGATTTGTTCTTCGTAGCAACAGTTTGAAAATTAAGGAAAGATACTCGAGCTCGACAAGCAGTGAAGCATCTTCTTCTGACGGCGACGACGATGATGGTGATTGTTCCACAGAATGTTTAAACTGACAAAATATTTTGTCATACTTAGCTATATTTCTGTCGTGTTTGAAGACGACGGCATCAAAGATGATTCTTGGAATAGTTGTTACGCATGACGCACCCAAGCTCGTTACTATGTCCACACACCTTCTGTTTGGTCTGAGTTCGTCGAACATCGACAGTAGTTGGTTCGTTGCATAAGGAAACTTCATGCTTTACGATTATCATATAGAAAAGCTTCAGATAGCTGTCCAATGAATTTCCACCATACTATGGACCTGCCATGCGTGGAAAATGACAAGCAGCACGTTACGTTGTTGCCTTTTGTGATGTAAACTAATAGCTGTCCAATGAGATCCCTGTGTTGAAAAACAAAATTATCAAGTCACAATAATCAAACAGGTAGATGGGTAGAACATAAAACTCAGTTCAAGCGAATTATTGCAATTTACGCGGATACATACATACATATACTTTAT